GGCTCCAGCAGCAGGTGTGTGGCTCATGGGATGAGGGGGGACGTGAGCCTGTGTGCGGGCCTGGCTCCCGTTGTTGTGAAGCTCTGCCAGGGAGCGTGGTGTCCGTGGAGCTGGGTGTCGGTGTCTCTGAAATCGGCAGCAGCCAGCTGGGAGCGCTTGAGAAGCTTCTGCGCTTGGGCCTTGTGTCGCAGGGGTCTGGCCGATGCTTAAAAGTTCGACGGATTTAATGTTTTCTGTTACTTCTTTCCCACAATATGTCCTTTTCCCTGCCTCCCCTCCTCCTTCAAGATCAGAAAAACTATTTACCCTTCGTTGGTGGGTAACCATTACTCTAGAGCTTATCTGAGCATGAGTGTAAACTCTGATGTTAATTTTTCTGCTTTATTGTTTGCAGATTTCTTTGAGGAATATATTTAGCCTTTGTAGGCCTGCATTTATGCTGCACTTTTAAAGCTTAACATCGTTTTTTCTACAGATCTGACACCACTTTAGCCTGCAGAGCAGTGACCTGAAAAACAATAACCTGATCTAACTTGAAAAAAATGGTGACGTTTCATGATTGATTTGTGTGGATGTAATATAGTTACCTGTTTCCTGTCACAAAGGTTTTGTATGGTGTTTACTTGTCCTGTCAGGGAGCATCTTTAGAGACGGGAGCCAGGATGTTGCGAATTATGAGGAAACTTTTGCTGAATGCATTGAAGTCATCAAGTTTGCGCAGTGAGGTAAACTTCTTAACTTTTTCCCAAATTTTGATACTACCTCTGTGAGCAAAAGAAATACTTGGGTTACCCTGAATATGCTTTTTAAAAAATTTCATTTAAAAATTGTTATCCAAACAGAATGCATAATTTCATGTTGAAATTGTACTTCATCTAAGTCAGAATGTGGAAGTTGAATTTACAGTTTTTCTGTGAACTTTTTTAGTTATCTGTGATTTTGATTACCAAATATTTGTCATTGTTAAATTTATATTATTTACACAAATAATGAGACATATTTAAAATACTGTGGCTACTGACATCATGTTTTGACGTTATCATAGAATTTTACTGGGCTTCCCAAATAATATTGGAATTGGACTTGGTTTAATCCTTGGTGCTACCATCTTCATGCTTCTGCTTCCAAAAAAGCTGGTGTTTTGAGCTTATATAAATATCTAACAACAGTATCAGTTCCTGTAGATATTTTTTTTGTTGTAGTTTTCTACAACTGGCAAAAATGTAGCTACAAAGTAATTACTTGTAATGATAAATATTCTTTTTTTTTTTTTCTTTTTAAGCATATGTTTTTCAGGAAGACAAAAATGAGAGCTGTGAATGAGACACAGCAAAACTGCAGTCTAAGAAACTACAGTTCTCCACCAGGTATAAGTTTAAATTATTTTCTTAATAGTAAGGATTGCTCTAAAACTGAGTAAGAATACTTTCTAATGGTGTTTTAGTGCATTCTTTTAGTTGTTATTTGTAGAATTTGATGTGTGAAGCGCAAACAGAACAGAAGATTCAAGGACTGAAAAGAAGTCTGTTGCATTGCTGCTCTTTTCTCATTAGATGTATGGTATAAACTGTTTAGAAAATAAGAAAAAGAAAAGATATAGATCTATAAGAATTCAGGTCAGTTGTGAAGTGTGTTGGAACCCCTGTCTAGTTGCCTGAAGTATTAATTGGTTATCAAGTAACTGATGATAGCTTGTTGGACAGGAGGAGAAAGACAGGAATCTGATTAAATAGAAGTTTTAAGTTATTGGTAGTGTATTTTCTTTCTAGACTCAGAATAAAATACAGTAAAAAGAATAAGATAAAATAATAAGACTTAGAAAACAAAATTTCAGGTAAAAGGAATTTTTGCTGGCTTTTGAGTAGGTACACTGAGGTTGAATGGAAATCAGTTGATATAGGGTAGCGTTGGGAGTGAGGCCCACATTTTTTACATCAAGATGGAGATGGGAAGAAAATAGTGGTAACTGGTGGGTGACCAACTTATTTAAAAAAAAAAGTTAATGGATTCAGCAGTGTGTATCTTGGCAAAAGTCTTTAACTGGCAGACATGTACCTGAGAAGATGACTTGATAACTTACTCTTAGTTGCTAATGTCAACACAGTTTCTGTTGTTACGTGGTACTGTTTCTATGTAGTTGTCTGTGCAATGTCACTGCTGTCTACTGTATGTATCCCTGTTTTTGCTATGCTGAATACCTCAGCACGTCACTTGGAGGCAGAGCTTCATTCCACACACAAAAAGATATCGTGACTTAGATGAGCAAGAAATCTCAAACATACTAATATGTTACTTTGTGAATTATTTTAGAAATCTGAGAGGAAAAGGTAGTGTTAGTTGGAGTTTTTACTTGAGGTGGTGGTGGCAAGTGTTGGTCAATTTCCAGCCTGCTACCTTGCTTCTCCTAAGATTAGTCTTTCTCCTTATCAAGACATTCACCTACAAGATGCCTCTTTAATATCTCTGGTAAGAGGGACAATCTGTGGATAGTGAAGGAATGTTAGTTTAAATATTGCAAAATTCTGTTTGGCCTATCAAAGATCAACTAAAGTAGTAGGAAAGCGAGTTCCTGAAACACAATTTAAATTACTTGATCAACTGAATTATTGATTAATTTAATTAAAAATTTAGCTTGGCAACTTATTTTCCAACTAAAAAGGGTGTGAGAGAGAAAATAGCTTTCAAGAAAATGTGCATTTAAAACTCCTCAGTCCCATTTTTTCTTAACGTAGGTCAGTTCATGTTTTCTCCCCAAGCATTATGGTGTCTGGCTTCAGTGTTTAAAGGAGAAATTACTTTTGAAATGTGTTATCTAATAGCCAGTTGAGATGAATTTCAGCATTACGGTTGTCTTGAACTGTGGCATGTTTTATTATTAATTCTGCAGAGTAAGATTGTGCTGGTAATACTTTTCTGTGTTGGCTTTTTCCCATTGTTTCTAAACTACAGCTGTTTTGAAGAGTTTCGTGGTTTTTTTAAGAGAGAGAAAGATTTATTGAAAATTAGGTACATATCTTTAGAAATTTGAGGTGATAAGAGGTTACAGATTGTCATGATTTGTGGCTCTGAATCTTTTTTCTTTGTAAGTTTTTAGGATTTTTCTTACATATATTTAATTTTGTTAAAATCTCTCATTTCTACATGGGGATCAGTCTTACAAATTGTTGTTTTGTTGTGTTTGTCTCCAGGTGATGTTAAGTCTCTACGTTCTGTTATTAATCCTGATATATCCAGGTATGTCATGCTAGCTTATTTTTCGGATGTTACTGTCAGTCAGAACAATTGATGTGTTAACAAGTCATGGGTTGTCGCTCTGCCTGTCACATGCATAGCTCATGTGCATGTTCTAAGTTCAAGTTAGTAGTTTTCCTTACTTTTACCATTCTGACATTTCAATACAGAGCAGTTGCCGGTGTCTAGGAGGTCTTAACTCTCTCTTGTTTACATCATCAGAACCAAACCTGGGCTTTTAGGAAAGCTCCAAATCCATGATGGTTGCTGGGAGCTGAGTGAGGGGGAAGGGATATCTTGGTAACTAGACCACCACTGTGGGCAGGGCTGTATACTCTGCGTTCATGGGAGTGCTCAGCCATGCTAGATGAGGGCCTTAGTAATGAGGGCAAGGTAATTAGGGGCTGAGCTGCCAAAGGAATGGCTTGGGTGTGAAGTTCTCTTGGAAGATTACTTCTGTCCTGAGGCTGAATTCAGATAGTGTTAATGGTGAACATAGGGTCTGATCACAGGCCTGTGATGTGCAGAGCTAGTGAAGCAGTTTTGGAAGCTACTGGTGAAGTACTTCAGAAAGGAAGTCTTGGCTGAACAGAATCAAGGACAACTCAATGGGAACTTGGATGCTATGCTATTTGGGGCATAAAGGGTATATATGCAATATGCAATTTCAGGCACCAGGGGTTAGGTACTGGGAGGGACAAGAGGGTGGAGGGGCTTTTTCTGTCTGTGGAGAGGGCAGATGGGTGACGATGAGGCCAAAAAGTGGCCTTTGCCTGAAGCCAAATGTGGAAACTTGTTCCAAAACTCTTGAGTGCTACTGAAAATCCACCATTTCAGCAGTAATGTACTTCAGTATCAGAGTGTACACTGTATCAGATATGCAACAGAGGAAAGATGTTATTCTTCTGGTATACTGTTCTCAGTGAATGTTAGTTTTATGTACAAATAACAGTATCACTGAATAAAAAAATTACCGCAGTAAAAGCAATGTTTTTGCTTTATGCAGAATCCGAAACATTGGCATTATGGCCCACATTGATGCAGGGAAAACTACGACAACAGAGAGAATGCTGTATTATTCTGGATACATAAGAACACTTGGAGGTTAGAAACACTTTTTGAATTTCAGTATGTTTGACAGATTTAATAGCATACAATAACCTGCAATGCATTTAGAGGTTGCTAGTGGAATGCTTAACGTAGAAGCCAGTTGTTCCAGAGTTGTGCTGCAATATAAGGAAATTTTGATGTGCATTCCATTATGTTCTAAGGCAGTTGTACTTTGAGAGATCACAGGTTCATATTTTACTTTTAGTGCATTGATTTGTTTAACATATAATGGAGATGTTCTCTTTGTTTTACTTGTTGCTTATTCTTTGCTTCAGCAGCTCTTAATGGAATTCTTCAAGATTGACAGGGTCACAGCAGCCTCCATTTGTGCTACCTTTTGACCTTTTAAATTTAATTCCCTGTTCTCTACCATGTATGAGAATGATAGAAGATGTTAGGCTTGTGGAGCGGTTGAACTTGGTGGCCTGCTTGTTTAAAAATATGGAGCTGCTTCTCTTTTTTTATAAAAATAAAAAATTGCCCACTAGCAAAAGCTAACCTCTTACTTGTTTGGGGTTTTTTTTGTGTGTGTGCTGTTTTTTTTTTTTTAATTTAAGTTTAGTTTTAACTTAATTACCTTTTAATTACTACATTTAGTTTTAACTTTATTTAACAAAGAGTCTTATGCAGAATACACACTGTGTAGTGGGTACATATATGTACACACACATACTTTTTCTTTATATGCATATATATATACACACACACAAAAGAAAAGTTGTCAGTTTGTGGCAGAAGGGCACAAATCAAATGTTTGCAGGGCTGATTATTCTTTTCTGAGTCACTTGCATACAAATTATCCAGACTTACACCTTCTACACAGCAAGTCAGCCTATGTTTATAATTAACTTGCAGTAACTTCAGTTATCTTCGAAATGCAGTAAAGTTTAGAGAATAGTAAACACCTTTGACAGAGACTCAAAATTCAGCCGTATTCAGGAACAATTCTCCGTGTTATGGAAAAATTCACATTGTAATTGCGCTTATTATATAGCAGAACTTTCATCTGCAGTATATATTCTCAAATTGTGGAAAAGCAACTTAAGAGAACAGTCATATGTAGAAGCTTTTTCACCTGATTTAATCTTTTAATTACTACATTTTAAAGTGTCAGTCACATTCCATACAATTACAGGTTTTTAAAAATTGCACTTTGTTCATGAATTTGGACTTTGCTTTAGTTTTTAAGTTTCTGGTGGTATTACTAGGATTAAGAACAGCAGAAAGGTTGTTGGAATTGCTTGTCTTTGGCTTACAGAGCATATTGTTCCCTGGAAAGGGAGTTTGGGTAAATTAGCTGACATCATTTTCTGAAAAAGGCTAGTTTTTGTAGCTTATACATATATAAAAGGGGCAGTATTTCAGAATCTCTCAGTTCTTGAATTACTTACCTGCCCAACTGTAATCCTGTTCACAGATGTTGATGATGGAGACACAGTGACAGATTTTATGGTACAGGAGCGAGAACGTGGTATTACCATTCAGTCTGCTGCTGTTACATTTGACTGGAAGGACTACAGAATCAATCTGATTGACACCCCAGGTACTGCGCTTCAGCAGCACTCACATTGTTAAGGGAGAGCAGATGAGGTGGGCTGTCATAGAATGTCTTAGTTTTAAATATGGTGCAATACTTAATTGGTTTAATCGCAGCAGTGAAAAGGCCTATACTGAGCTCTGTTCAGCTTTGGCTAATTACTATTTGTTAGTAACGCTAACTACCTTGTTTAAAGTGAGTTCAGACATTTCCACGCTAAATTGCTCTTAGTCTGGGATTGCAATGTAACAATCTTGTGTATTTCAAGGGCTGATGGGTGTATTTCTCTGCAAGAGCAGACGGGGCTGTTTTGACATTATTTAAAAAGAAAAAAAAATTGTAATGCCCTGTTGATGTTGCCTGTTTGAATTATGATGGTATAAAGGGAAGAGTATTTTTTAGGTCATGTGGACTTCACAGTGGAAGTCGAGCGTTGCTTGAGAGTCCTGGATGGAGCTGTAGCGGTGTTTGATGCTTCAGCTGGTGTTGAGGTAAAAATAACTGGTAGATTTTTAAATTTTTTTTGTCCAGTGACTTAAATCAGACTGAAGTAATAGTAATAGTACAGAGATGGTGCTCTTTAATACCTCTTTTGATGCTTTGATAAAAATTCAGCTTCAGGAAGCTGAGCATTTAATTTCAATTCCTGTAGTGTACAAGAATTGCCATGGTAATAAGGGGCAAATAAATGGGATGCCCATTAAAGTCTGTGAGTTTTTTTGTTGTTTTGTTGCTGTCCTTTACAAACGTTGATTGAGGTAGATGCTTCTGGCTAGTTCCACTAGTGGAAAGAAATGAATATCTGTTCATTTCTCACTTTTAGATTTCATGTAGAAGATGAGTAATTTTCAGCCAGAATTTCTCCATCCCCAGGGGCCTATTTAACATGCCTTTTGGGGCATAGTGCAGAAAAGGTGGAGGCAGGCTGGAATTCGACATTTTAGCATGAGATGTTTGAGTAGTTCAATCCTGTAGAAAAGTTTAATAAATATTGTGAAATCACTGTGTTCCATGGAGGGTACCTTTTTCTTAGATGAGGGATGAGAGAACTCTTGATTGGTGTGAGTCACATTATTTAACTTGCTACTGGAAAGCATTTAGGTACCATTGTATCTGAACCTGAACTGAGTAACAGCCCCCACCCCGCCAACAAAACAATTAGATGTGCTTGTGGTTTTCTAAACTGTGTAGGAAGTTCTCACAGTATTTCCATGTATTGGTAAGAGACTATTTCTGAATCTGAACTGGTTTTCATATATACTTGTTTTCACTTTCAAATAAGTGTGTATCATAAATGGCTCAGCAGTACACAAGTTACTAGCAGTACTTAGTACTTACAGTAGGTTCTGGTGTTGTACGTGTAGCCACAGAAATGCTTGCCTGTGTGTGCTTAAGTATCTTGACAATGAAGTCTTAAGTCTCTACATTACTGAGTTTTTTCCAAATATATCCCCTCCAATGCTTAGTTTCATTCTGTGTTCTCTTGCTGGTATGCCTTGTGTGCCCTTAGGGAAGGACAAGGAATGACTACAGCTGAGAGAAGAGATGAGACGAAGCTGCTTGTGGAGTTCATCTGTGCTGCTAGATACAGGATTGTTGCAACACATTCAGCGCAGTTCCCTCCGTACTCCAGACTCAGTCCCTCAGTGGTTGTGAGGAGTGTGTAGTTCGGCTCTCAGCACTAATGTTTCCATTTTGTCTTTTGCTTTAGGCCCAAACTCTGACAGTGTGGAGACAAGCAGACAAACATCAGATACCACGAGTTTGCTTTTTGAACAAGATGGACAAAACCAGGGCGAGGTATTTAGAGAGTTAATGGAATAAATGCTAAAAACCTTGTAAGAGACCTTGTATCTAATCAAGTTAAAGTTTTTCTGTTAAGCATAAACTAAGCCAGTTACGTACATAGGCGTATTTTTGTGTAATTTTAGGAGTAGTTTTTGCAGTAAATAAAGAATTATAAACCTATTTTGCTATATCATTGATAGTAATATGTAATAGTATATCTTGTTTTAATATAGTTTTACATATGCTGTTGAGAGTATCAAACAGAAGTTGAAGACAAAACCTTTGCTTTTACAGGTAAGCCTGGAAATGAAATGTTTATTTGCTTTCTTTCAAATGGAACTCCTTTCCTAATTTTTTTGCAGCTGTCTAAAATCTTCACTGTATTTGCAGTTGCCCATTGGGGAAGCCAAGACCTTCAGAGGACTGGTTGATGTTGTGACTAAGGAACAAATCATTTGGAAACCTACTTCTGATATGGATGATGGAAAAAAATTTGAGCAAAAGCCACTGCTGGAGGCTGATGATCCCAGCCTGTTCCAAGAAGTCCAGGATGCCAGAAATACCTTAATAGAACAAGTAAAGTTCTAAAGTAAATGCATAATATATTTAATACCGTTATTTAGAACAGTAGAAGAAACAGGCTGAAAGGGACTTCTGGAGGTGTGTGGTGCAGTGACCTGCTCAAAGCAGGGCTAACTTCAGCATTCGATGAGGTTGCTCAGGCCTTGGTCAGTTGGGTTCTCAAGTCTCTAAGGATGGTGATTACAACCTGTCTAGTCAGCCTGTCCCACTGCTTGGTTGTTGTTGTAGTGAAAAGTTATTTCTTTCTGTCTGAGGTGAATTTACCATGTTCCAACCTGCTACAATGCTACTTGTCCTTTCTTTGTGTGCCTTGTAGAAGAATCTGTCTCTCTTTTTCCCTGAAGCAGGCCCACCACCAACACCATTTCAAGTAGTAGGAGACAGCATTTGCATCCTGCCTTAGCCTCTCCAAGTTAGACAAACCCATCTCTCTGGGCCTCCAGCTGCACTCCAAACACGTTACTGGTTTTCCACTGGATTCCCTGCAGTTTCTCAGTATCTTTTGTGCTAGGGAACCTAAGAGCAGTGTTTTAGATGCAGCTTCACAAACGCAGGGTAAAGGGTGCTAACCACTTGTCCCAATCCACTGGCTATACTCTTGCTGATGCAGCCCAGGATGCAGTTGTCCTTTGTCACTGGAAGGGGATGCTGCCAACTCATGCCCACTTGTCCAGCAGGTTCATCTGGTTGACTTCTGCAGAGCTGTCTCCTAGCTAGCTGATGCCTGCTCTGTATCACCACATGGATTTGTTCTGTCCCAGGTGTAAGATTTGGCATTTATCCTTATTGAACTAATTTCACATTTTCTTCACTTCCTTTCCATCTGTCAAATACACTTAATGCGCATTGGAAATTTTAGTATGTGATGGTAAAACATGCTGAATACAGAGAGTTGGACTCCCTGGCTGTACAATATGTCCATAAAATGGAAAATTCTCCCTTTATAAAGAGGGAACTGACGAAACCAGACACTACGTGTAGCATTCAGTTGGCTAACATAGTACCTTGTACTGCCTTATATGCTGTATTTACATTCACACGAAGCCTGGCAGATGTGATCCTGAACGTGCAGGATATCCATACCCTTCTGGAGTGGCAGCTAGAAACTGGATGTGATGTTGCAGGCTGGTCGAAATGGCACTCAAATATGGCACACTTGTTCCAGATTCACCCAAAAAGTCCATGGGAGAAATGAGAAAAGAATAGTATAAATATTTAATTAATACAGATTGTCATAGTGTGAAGCTAAGAAAGATAATAGGAACTTGATATAGATACCAGGTTTTGCACAGTTGACAGTTTAGAAGGGCTAAAGAACAGGATTAATGGAAGTAAATTAGTAATTTGCCTGTTGAGCAGTGCAAAACATTTGAAATAGTTTGTTCGGAGTGTTTTTCTTACCCTCCACAGGACATTTTAAGGTCCCACATTATTTTGTGTCATTTATATAACAGTACTGTAAGATTTTGTTGTATTTGTGTAATTGAGACTCTAAGCAAATCTTCTCTCCCAGTAAAAAGGGTTTTTTTATTACTTTCTGTTTTCTTACATACAACTTAAAAGTGTAGTAGTGATTACATTTGAATGCATGCTTTTATAAGCAAAAATATAGGAGGTTAGCAACTATTTTTATCTTGGATATTGATCCATTTTGCTGGAAGGGCTGCCCTCCACACAACTTTTAATAACACTGTGCAAATGCATAAACACATGATGCTAGGCTTTCAGTTTCTTTTGAAATATCAAAATCAGAGACATTTATTGTGTATTGCTCTAAAACATATGTACAATCTGGTTTTCAGAATTTTCAGGTTTTAAGTTATTACTCAGCCTCTTATCTGAAGAAATGTATTATCAGGTGGAAAGCTTTGTAAGAACAGTGTTGGGGTTTTTTTTCCCTTTTTTTCTGGGCCCTTCCTGAAGCGGGAAGGGATGGACCAGTAGTGTCATAATTGAGATGGCCTTGTGTTCATAAAATATTTTTTTGTATGCTTTCTGTTCTATTAACACTCTTTATGGGAAACACTGTAAAATTTACTAGTGCTAATAGCAGCCATCTTGCACACTGCTTTCACTTAATTAAATGAACGCTTTCCTTTATCTCTCCTGTTTTAACTGTTCACGTGATTGGACTTCTGACTGCTTACCAACGACTCATGTCAGTATTGGGTCCTTTTGCTGTCGTAGCCACTAGAGGGGCACACTGCCTTCCTGCACATAGAGTGTCCTGGGTCTATGACAGTGCAAGGATGTATGTGAGGTGAGGTTTAAAGAGTAGTTAATTTATTTGTCAAGCAAAGTGGCACAATTTGAAAACATAGATGAGCTCTTGGACCTACAAGCCTTTGATGTGAAGAAGGTCAAAGTGCCCTGAAGGCTTGTCTCTTTTTTTCCAGCTGTGTGTCTTTTGCCTTGCAAAGGTTACTTGCTGCTCACTTCAGACTTCCCCTTGTTTGCAGATCTGAAATAGGTTCAGTTATACCCTTCATGGCTGTCACTGTGTGGCTGCAGGTTGTTTCAGTTTCAGTACAAGCATTCTGTCTCCCACTGATGTTTTGCCTGACAGCAGCTTTTAAAGTTGACTTTAATGTTTTTTCCTCTGTCCTTTCTTGAAACCTGCATTTCCATAATTTTCTGTGGCTTGAGTTTATGATCTCTGATGTCTTTAAAGGCTTTGTTCCTGCTCTGTTTGCCCGTATATCCTAAATAACTTAAGATTTGTGACTTGTTGGTAAAAACTGCTATATGCCAAATAATAAAGAACTATTCTGTTATAGGTTGCAGATCTGGATGATGAATTTGCTGAACTGGTTCTAGGTGAATATAGTGAAAATTTTGACTTAATACCAGCTGACAAGGTAATTTTTACATTTCACTATTTATAAACAAGTTATATTATTCTGGAGGGCTGGGTTTTTCTTCCTTTGGCAATCACAGATGATTATTTTGCAGAGGTGCATTTTTTAATTAAAAAAAAAAAATCACACCAGCTTTTGTAGTGAATTTACTGTACTGTGTATATGGGACAAAGTATTTTCAAGCTTAATGTGTATTTTCATAGAATCATAGAATCATAGAATGGTTTGGGTTGGAAGGGACCTTAAAGATCATCTAGTTCCAACCCCCTGCCATGAGCAGGGACACCTTACACTAGATCAGGTTACTCAAAGCCTCATCCACCCTGGTCTTAAACACTTCCAGGGAGGGGGCATCTACAACCTCTTTGGGCAACCTGTTCCAGTGTCTCACCACCCTCACACTAAAGAACTTCTTCCTGATATCTAATCTAAACCTCCCCTCTTTCAGTTTAAAGCCATTCCCCCTAGTTCTGTCATTAACTGCCCTAACGAAAAGTCCCTCCCCAGCTTTCTTATAGGCCCCCTTCAGGTATTGGAAGGCCGCTATAAGATCTCCCCTAAGCCTTCTCTTCTCCAGGCTGAACAGCCCCAGCTCTTTCAGCCTGTCAGCCTGCATTTTATATGATAATGCACTTATATAATCTTGCAATTATATATATGCAGTTATATCATAGAGCATTATCTAGGCACAATTATGCTAGGCACAATTTTAAAAGTAGAGTACCTTTGTTCAGGAAGGGATTTTTTTTTTTAATTTTATTTTTGAAAGGTAGGCTGCTGTGAAAGAGTTTGGGGAAAGGTGAATGGAATTTCCAGGTAGACTCAGGGCAGTTTGTGTCCAGGCTGCTGGTTCTTACTAACAAAAGTAGCGTCTCAACTGCTATGAATTAGTTGTATCTTCAGACACTGCATGCTGGAAGTGGTGAGGTACAATATTCTGGATTAAAAGAACTGTTAGAAAAAGAACAAGAACAGCTGCAGATCTGCGTGAAATGTTTAGAAATCTTAAAAGCAATGTCTTCTGTTTTAGTGTCTAAACCTCTGGGTTTATGGTTTGAAGCTCATTAAAAGCAGTGAAAGGAGTTTGCATGAGTGATACTTGCAGACATACCTTTTAACTTTTGGTGATTCATTAGCAATATCTGGTAGCTGGAGTGCAATTTAAGACTAAATTGTAGTTCCCACATTAACAGAAAGCAATTATTTTTTGCAGTTACAGTCTGCTATCCGCAGAGTCACGCTAGCGCAGAAAGCGGTCCCTGTACTGTGTGGCAGTGCGCTGAAGAACAAGGGAGTGCAGCCCTTGCTGGACGCTGTTACTATGTACTTGCCAGCACCTAATGAGCGTTCGTATGAGTTTCTGTAAGTACAGGGAGGAAAGGAGGGTCAGAAAAAAGGAAAAATAATTAGGAAAGCATAAATGGAGAAAATGAAAAATACTAACAAAGCATTCATGTCTCTAAAAATGTTTACTGTTTTTAGGTACTAAATAACAGTAAAGATGTGTGGACACACAAATGCACTTGAGTACTGAACCTGCTTTGGTCACTGCTACTGGAATTGTATGCATTTAACTCCAGTGGTCAGACTTGCACTTTAGAGTTCTAAAGTCTATTTTTAATCTGAGGATATTGTCACTTTACAAAATTGGGGGTCTAGGGATCATCTTTAGTGTTGACTGAGACACATCTTACATATCCTGCTGGAGCTGGAACACCTTAGGTTAATATTTTTTGGTATAAATTATGATTTTAAAAAATGGCCTCTATTAACATTACAACATATCACTTCTTAAATAAGTGGAAATTTAGGTAAATGTGAATTTGAGTGGATTAATCCTACAAGTATGCTTTTTGTTGTGCTTTTTATTCTGCAGACAATGGTACAAGGATGACCTGTGTGCCCTAGCGTTTAAAGTTCTCCATGATAAATGTCGTGGACCATTAGTTTTCATTCGCGTTTACTCAGGTTCACTGAAACCTCAATCAGCTGTATACAATATTAACAAAAGTTGCACGTAAGTAAGGTAGAGGTGTGGTTTGTGTGGCATTGGAATGTCTGTTGAAGTCCCGAGTAAGAGAGTAATACAAGAATTTCATTTTCAGGGAAAGAATGAGCCGAGTGCTCCTGCCTTTTGCTGATCAGCAAATTGAAATACCATCACTAATGCCTGGCAACATTGCCCTTACTGTTGGGTTAAAACAGGTAATGGAAAATACTGACTCTGTAAGGGAGCTTGTTTTACTAGTGTGGTTTCTGCTTCTATGGTATTGTATCTCAGATGTGTTCTTGATTATTGTGACATATGTAAACTTGCTTTGTTTGAAGTACGTGTACATGTACTTCCTCCTAAAATGAAATGTTATAATGTACAAACATCAGTAACTGACCTGGGAGTTGCAGTGCTGATTACATGGAAAGGACTGAAAACCAAAGGTGTATCTTAGTAGGGTTCTGAGCTTGTATTTATATTGTAACTCTTAAAATCCATGTAATGCCATGGAGAGACCTCCTTTGGGGAACAAGGGTGATGTTGCAAATAAGTTACCCAAAAGCAACAATTTAACTTAAATTCAAATAAGTTTGTTTCCTGCCTGCTTCTGTTAGTTTCCTAATTCAGCATTTTATTGTCTGAATAGGCTGCCATAGGTCTCATTTGCACAGATTTTCTAAAATGTAACCAATTTTGGCATGCATAAGCAAATTTTCATTTACCAATACTGGTCTTTGTGGCTTTATCTTGACAGGGAAGTTAGATTTAAAATGCAGTAAATTGGACAAAGAAATGTTAGTCTCAATTTGAGCACAGTTTTTCCTCTTCCAGATCATTTTAGTTATTTGAAGAGAGAAGTTACAGTAATAAATAAATAACTGGAGTTTAACACAAGTGGTTATGAGGAAGAGAAATGGTCAAGGGTTGTGGGGGCTTGTTTGTTTGCTTTCATATCCTCCTTCTTCTGTGCCTTGTGGGTCACGGGGTGTTGATCTATAGAGTGCCACTGGAGATACCATAGTGTCATCAAAGGCTTCAGCAGTAGCTGCGGCACGTCGAGCTGGAAGGGATGCTGGGAGAGAGAAGAGGTCTACCAGTGACATAGAGAGCCTTCTGCTGGCAGGCGTTGAGATCCCTGACCCAGTCTTCTTCTGTACAATTGAACCTCCTTCAATGGCCAAACAACAAGGTACAACATAGCTACTTAAGGATGTGATAAGATATTCTACAAATTAGGCATTCAAGCATAACCATATTCTCATGTGGAAGGAACAATGCTCGTCCCCAATCCATGCACACCTGCTTGACATGAGTGAGTTGCACAAATTTATCAATTGGTGATCTAATAAGGCTGTTTTTGGTGTTTTGCAGAGATGATATATTTTAGATCATGGTTGTCAGATCCTTTGCGATTACTACGTCAAGCAGTACTAGCACTTTTCTAGGTTTTGTGTCTACAAAAGTAGTAGTTCTTCATTTTGAAAGAAGAGATGAGGCACTTTCATTTCCTACTGTCATGCTTAGTTTGCTGCCATCATGCTGGTGTAATGTACATAGTCCTGAGTACAAATAACCTTGAAATGTGTTGGGTTTGTTTGGGGTTTTTTTGTTGTTGTTTTTTTCAGTCAGCACTCACAGTTTTACTCTTTGATGCAAAGTCTTCACTTACCAAGACTTCTGTGTGTCTAGTTAGGGTTTACCTATGCAGTGTGACCTGTAATCACATAATCACAGAATTACCTAGATTGGAAAAGACCTTTAAGATCATTGAGTCCAGTCATTAGCCTCACACTGACAAGTCCCCAACTAAACCATGTCCCTAAGCACTACATCTATGCAACTCTTAAATACCTCCAGGGATGGGAACTCCACCACTGCCCTGGGCAACTCTTTCCAAAGCCTGATAACCCTTTCAGTAAAGAAATTCTTCCTAATATCCAACCTAAACTTCCCTTGGTGCAGCTTGAGGCCATTTCCTCTCATTCTGTCACTTGTTACTTGGGAGAAGAAACCAACACCCACTTCTACATCCTCTTTTCAGGTAGTTGTAGAGAGCAACAAGGTCTTCCCTCAGCTTCCTTTTCTCTAAGCTAAACAAACTCAATTCTCTCAGCTGCTCCTTGTAAGACATGTGCTCCAGGCCCTTCACCAGCTTCGTTGCCCTTCTCTGAGCACACTCCAGCACCTCAATGTCCTTCTTGTAGTGAGGGGCCCAAAACTGAACACAGAACTCGAGATGCCTCCTCACCAGAGCTGAGTAGAGGGGTAAGATAACTTCCGTGGCCCTACTGGCCACACTATTCCTGAGCCAGCAGTGTGCTCAGGTGGCCAAGAAGGCCAGTGGCATCCTGGCTCACCTTCAGCGAGCTATCAGTCAACACCCCCAGGTCCCTCTCTGCCCAGCAGCTTTCCAGCCACTCCTCCCCAAGCCTATAGGGTTGCATGGGATTGTTGTGACCCAGGAGCAGGACCCAGCAATTGCCCTTGTTGAACCTCATACAGTTGGCCTCAGCCCATGGATCCAACCTGTCCAAGTTCCTCTGCCGAGCCTTCCTACCCTCAAGCAGATCAACACTCCCACCCAGCTTGGTGTCATCTGCAAACTTACTGAGGGTGCACTCAGCCCCCTCATCCAGATCATTGATAAAGATGTTAAACAGGACTGAGCGCTGGGGAGATCTTACTGCCTTTCCCAAGAATCTGTACCAGAGAACTTGGTTATTTGACTCTTTTTGGAAATACATACTTTAAACTCTGTATCTTCACTCCAGCTGAGCTAAGCTTGGCTGGGGTGAAGCGGGGGAAGGGTCAGTACTAGTATAGTATGATGGAATGGAGCAAGGTAGAATGCAGATTTGGAGCAACACGTCTCCAGGGTGAGCCACCGGGTTGTAAGGTGTTCCTGGTTTTGGGGAGTTTGCATGTTTTGTTTTGTGGGGTTTTTTGTTTGGTTTTGTGTTTGTTTGGGTTTTTTTCCCCCAAAGACTGTAAGGTAGAGAAAAACAGTCTCAGCTCTGAGTTCATCATTCTGTAGCTGATTTCCTCAGCTGTTAAAATAATGGGGAATCAGAGAACAGTCATTTACATTTGAACCTTTTCATTTGAATCAATCTAGAAATATTTAGGCAAATCATATAAGAGTGAGTTGACATATTTTTTCTTATCTGTAAAAAGGGAGCAGTACTTTTTACTGACTTGAAGCACTTACAGGTTCCCTTCTATCTTCACACAAGTGAAAAAATATCACTCTGAAACTGAAAATTATTAACTATTTAATAATTAAATAAGCACTCTATAGTGTGCAGTTAACTTGTTGGAGATAATCATAAGTTGCAAGTTGCTTGTAATTAGAGCTGACTTTGTTTGCCAAAATCCGTGCTTCTCTAGAGTCCTTTTGATTCTGAGAGTAAGATTTGACTCTCTGAGGAAAGTGATGTTCAGAAAATTCACTGTGATTCTCAAATTACTGAAGTCTCCTTAGATACAATGTTTGATATTTATGTACAGACTTGGATAATGCTCTGAGCTGCCTTCAGCGTGAAGATCCAAGTTTAAAAGTGAAGCTAGATCCGGACACAGGACAAGTAAGATGAATCTCCTATTGCTCACCTTATAACCAAGCTCTATTTTAGAACTGTCAGGACTATCCTTCAGTTAGTTCATTTACATATGGAGATTTTTTTGAATATAAAGGACTTTCTAAATATTCCTGTCATATATGTACAAAGTTCTGTGCATCAAACTAAAACGGAAACTTGTGCTTTACAGAGTAGAGGAAGTCATCCTGTGCTGTGCGTGTTTTTAACCATTCTATACTTTTAAAAGTTTGAATTACATAGTCTGTAAGGTAATGTAAGGTGACTTTTATTGTAGTGGTCGCAATTACCCTGTCACTTACATGGTGTTGATGTCAGATGACCTAAATCAGGCCCATTTTCTCTCTAGGCTCCTTAGAATTTGAAATATTTGTGAGACTATTAAAAGCATGCAAGTCCTTGCTTAAATGTTTGTTATTGAAACCTGAGTTTTGCATGTTTTTCTTCTACTGTCTTCTTAATAGACTATTCTTTGTGGCATGGGAGAACTACACATAGAGATCATTCATGACCGAATCAAACGTGAATATGGAATTGAAACTTATTTGGGACCTCTTCAGATAGCGTACAGAGAAACCATACTGAATGCTGCCCAAGCTACAGGTAATGAGTGAACGGAAGGAACACCTTGATTCTGGTTTTGTAGCTTGATTTACTTTAAATGATCTTATGAGTAACTTTTAGATGAATTTTATCTATTAGGGTTTTTTCCAAATGATTCTGTTGCTTTTTTTTTTTTTTTTTCCCCCTGTAGATGTATTGGACAAAACAGTGGGAGATAAAAGACACTTTGTTACTGCAGAGTTAGAGGTGAGGCCCACGTTAGGGGAGAGAGCAATGACAAAACCTGTCATTGAGTATGCTGCGAGTGTCGTTGAAGTGCTACCCAAAGAACTCCAAGGAGCTGTAGAAAATGGAATTACGAATTCATGCATTCAAGGTAAAGGAAGTGCTATGACAGCTATACTGGTCTAACATTTCTGTAAGAAGCAATTAATAAGTTTCTAGGAGGGAAAACTCTGTGGTGGCTTGAAAACTAAAAGATAGTACATATTAACATTAGATGCCAAGGAAAATTCTCAACTTTCCTAATTTCCTTAACTGCAGAAATCACCAACCACTCCCTTCCCTATGCCAGGAATGGAAATCAGCAAGCCTTTGGTTTTAAGTTTGGTATCTTCTCAGTCACTCAACAGTGAGCTTGGGGTTCTTTTGGTTTTTTAATCTGGTGTAAAAGAAGGTGTTTACTTGATGACATCACGTAAACCACAACGATATGACAGAAGTGGTTTCAGAGGCCAACATGCACATACCGTACTTCTATTAGAGTTACTGATGTTTGGGGTTTTTTTATTATTATTTTCAAATATGTGAAATCCATTTAAGTATACAATAAGAACCCTTACCTAATCGCAAAGTACAGGCTTTCTAAAGGACTAAAAGCATCCTAAAGCATCCTATTTTACATTTGATTAAAAATAGAAGTATTTAACAACTTCTGGACAAAGAACTCTCCCTTACAGTAAAATTAACAGACAGTGAACTGAGAATTGCTCTAGCAGCAGCAGCATGAGGTGTTTTTTCCATGTTGTGTCTTTCATCTCTAGCTGTGGAATGAGTCTTGACTGAGTGCTTTCTTCACACTCCCTGAAGACACTGCAGAATTGTGCTGTCTCCAGCCTAAAAATTAATGCCATTAAGTGCTTAAAAAAAAAAAAAATCTGGCCATGTTCTCTGTAGGAAAAAAGAAAAAAAGCTGTGCATTTTTTCCTGGATGTGGTTCAGGCCTCCCATCCAGTCTGAGTTTTTGTTCGGGTTGAGAGTCCTGGGTTGAAGGGACATAACCTACCTAGGACACTAGATGTGGTTCATCCCTCTTGGCATTGAGTTAAGCCTGCAATTTTGGTAGTGGGTTAGTATCAGGCTTTGCTGTGATCACATTGTGTTGAAAAATAAAACACAGAAGATATTCTGGCTTCTCGTTAAACAAAAGCTTTCACTACTCTTTCAAATGAGGTCTTGTTTCAATAGACAAGTTTTAGATATTAAAATGTATTAAAAAATAACTTCATTTTTGGGAATGGTTATATGGATGAGCACACTTGGGAACTTCTGTTTCTGAAGATTATCTGTGCTTTTGGTAAAGAATGTAAGGAAGTATGAGTCTGCATTCCTTTGTCTCTTTTGGCAAAGCTAGGTAATGACAAAATCACACCATGAGGAAAAGGACCAGTAGACATGCCCCTGGGGGGAGGAAAGGGAAAGTGAGAAGCTCTGAATTAATCCTGAAACTTTTTTGCACGTGTCTTAATATTCTGACAAACAAATGTCCTTTTTGTTTGTTTGTTTGTTTTTTTCCTTTTTCTGGTAGGACCCTTGCTTGGATTCCCGGTTCAGGGTATAGATGTGACAGTGCAATCACTGACAGTGCATCCTGACACCTCCCACACAATGATATCAGCCTGTGTCTCCCGTTGCATGCAGAAGGTACAGTGAAACTGTAAGCTGCTGTAGAGCACAGGAGCATGACACACTACTGGGAAAACATGTATACCAGTATCTGGTAATTGTTCTTCTCTGACATCATAATGCCCTCACTGGGGACTTTATAGCTTTTGGAAGTAAAGAATTTGAGAGTTATTTAAGTAATTATGCCAATTTTCTTTAAAAAAAAAGAAGTCAATGTAACTCTACTCCTCTTCCATGTAGGCTTTGAAAAAAGCTGGTATACAAATACTGGAGCCCCTGATGAACCTAGAAATCACAGTAAGTGAAGATCATCTCAGCGCAGCACTCGCTGACCTTGCACAGCGGAGAGGTAGTATTCAGGAAATCCAGAGTCGTCAAGATAACAGGGTTGTGGTTGCTGCTGTTCCACTAGCAGAAATGATGGTATGTGATGATCTCATTAACATGCAAATTGATCTTTTTTTATATGCTTAAAAAGAATTGGGGTTCAGTTCACTTTTCCTGTTGTTATGTATGAATGAGTTTGGAATGGATGTTTTTTATTTTATTTTAATTATTGAAGCTCTGAAGCAAGTGCCCACAAATCTAATAGTGGTTTTGTGCCTGATTTAGATTGTTAAACCATCATGTTTTCAACTGTAAGTCAAAGCAGTAGTAAATATTACTACAAGAGGTTTTACAGCGAATAATACTTGAAAAAGTGTATTATTAGGTTGACTCATGTATACATTGCACTTTTAATACAGTAATATTAAAAAAATTAACTTACTAATATGTTGCAGTATACTCTCTCTCTCTATGTCTGTGACCTAAGCAGCTCTGTGTGCTAAGTATCTTCCCTTTATCCTAAATTGAGTGACGTATGTTCTGTGTTTTGTCCAGGGCTACTCAACAGTTTTGCGTTCTCTAACATCAGGCTCAGCAACCTTCACTTTGGAGCTTGCAAGTTATCAAGCCCTGAACAGTCAAGAGCAAAGTGCACTTCTTCAGAGGAGGATGGGGTTGGTGTGATTGCTTCACGCTGCAGAACATTAATGGTATTTTCTGTCCTCTCTGTTAAGTATTTTCAGGAGCCTATTTATGTACAGCAGTATGTCCTTCTGGGACCAGGTGGTTGTGGTAAATGGTGAATTATCAACTGTATGAGCAGACTGTGCTTTTAACTGTCCAAGGGAAGGTTCAAAAGACAGTGTTCTTCTGGCACAGCCTTGCAACTGCAAAGCAGCTGAACCAGAGGTGGAACCACAATTTGCTGCTTTGCAAATTCTTATCTCATAGATACCTGCCATGAGATGTGATGCAAATCCTTTTCATAGAAATGAGTAATAAGTGCACCTTAATGTGACTAATGCATCTTAAAGTTTTGGAAGTCTGTACATTGATTTGTTTTCAGCTGAATAAAAGAATATGGTTAATAAGCATTTTAAACTGTACAGCTGTAAGTATTACTTCTATACTGTTAAAAACCAATTTGAACCAGAGGTCAGCACTGGGTGTAACTCCTACCTGAGTTTGCTTTAGCAACTAAGTGGAATGGATGCTTCTGTAAATCAAGTAAGATCTGTGCAAAAAATACAAGAAAGGCAGAGTTCTCCCAGGACCTTGCAGTATGCTGAGAGAGGATTGTTTTTGACCTTTAGAAATGAGTGATTGAAGCTGCACTGGTTTTGATTTGCTATGTGTTACAAGTCAGTTCTGATTTGCAATCATCTAGTTACATAGAAAAGTGCTAAGTTATAAGATACTTTGAAATAAAAAGAATGTTTGCTCTTTATTTAAATAGTGTCTTATCTTTATTTTCCCTCAACTCTAGAACATAAGGAAACTGGATTTGGTAACTCCATTGTACCAAGTTCCAGAATCTCACAGTGAAGAATCCCCATTTGTAATGAAAGCTGAAAGCCATCATTTTTACTCCAACAAGAATGTCAAATAACTTTTAAGTGTGAAAATTTTAAGTCTTCATTCAAATATCAAACTGCATGCACATATATTAATTCCCCAGAGGCACTTCAGGTTATTGACTAGACATTTTTGCGGCCGTTACCACCCTCTTGCTTCATGGGCGCAGTATCCAACAAACACAGGTTCGGCTGCTATGCCACGCCTGTTAAAATAAAGTGGAAGGTCTGTGATTATAATCAAACAGGTGGCTGGTTGTGTAAGCAGGAAGAGAGATACTGGCATTCTATTTTAATCTTTGTTTAAATAAAATGACTTCCAAGAAATAACAGATGGCCTATTTAGGGACTGAAAAAGAGCCCTATTCTACAGTTCATTGTACTTCAGTTAAATAACAGTTCTCCGTTTCAATCACACATACCAGGATATTAGAAAACAGGTTCAAAAGCTTTAATTCAGGGGCTAGTCATCTTGATCTATTGCTTTTATTGAAGAGAAGTCATGAGAATGTGAAAATATGAATCAGTTGTTGACACACTGCCTCCCCAACTCCAGTGCTTCCTTCATAGGCAGCTCTAACTGTGTCATTTTCATTCATGTTTTTGGGGAAGCCAGTTTAGTAAACAGCTACACTAACAAATTACTCTGTTCTCATGTGGCTTTGAACCAACCCCTTTAGCTTATGATGGTACAGTACAAAAACAGTATAAAAAGATGTTTCTGAGTTAAAGTAGTTGTAGTCATAATTCTGCTTCTTGGATATTTAAGAGCTAGATAGCACTGGTGCAGTGATTTGTAAGGTAATACATACTGGTCTTTACATTGCACTTAAGAGCTGCAAGGGAAAAATTGGATAATGAAACTTGGACTTAGGACCTGGAAATCACTCATTTCTACAACTACAAAGATAGCTCTAATTAACCAGTAACTTGTCTAGGTAGTTTTTAGGAAAGAACTGCAAAGAGGAATATGTTATGAACTGACTTTGTTTACAGTAGCCATAAATAGAATTTAATTCACCAGAGACTCTTTATCCACCCCTTTCAGTCTTTACATTAAGACAGTTTCTGGAGGAATAGCTCATTCAGGCTCATCTCATGCAGACAGTTCCACTTGACTGCCTGCTGTATGTCTTTAATTATTAATTATAATAAATAACAACTTTTTTTTTTAGTCTACTTTTTCTCCTGTCTGTGTATTCCTCCTACATACCCTTTAATATCCTTTTTGTCTGAAATAAGTAAGCTATTGTGTTGGTTTTTCCTTTAGAGGAAAGAGACATAGATGAGTTCTAGTATTTCACTGAAGAAAATTAATGAGTTCTGAAAATGTTAGTTGAAAAACTGTCTAGAACTCCTGTCTTAATGAATCTCTTCTTCCTCTTCTGAGGAAGAACCCCAAAACCCATGGGGTGACACTTACATAGTCAGATTAGACTGCTAGCTCTCCTCCCTTCATTTCCAGACCAGCAGTTCAGGCCTGTACTTGGAACGCCACTGGTTACCAGGCATAACGATCAAGCTTTACTGCAGCTATTAATCTTACCGGAGCATGCGGCATCGATGATTAGTCAGTCTTTTATAGGCATCCTGCAAGCTGGTCACGTTGCTGCTGCTCCAGAGTCTTTCCCCTACAGCACTTGCTCGAGGCCTGTAAAGATACACTGAGTTTTAGAGTAGGTATAGTCTATAACCCAGAATGGATTAAAGTTTTTAATGCCAGGTCTTGTATCCAGAAGCATCAATTTTTATAGCTGCTCAGGTTTAGTACAGAGCACTGTTACCACTAGCATACAGTCCTGTTGGATTAATTAATGCTCCTTGTAGTTAGCTTTCTAAAAATCTAAAGATGAAGTAGTTCATACCACAGTCTTGGTGTGAGATTTGTTGCATCCACAAATTCCCCCCACAGGCAGGCTTCTCCACCTATTAAAAGGTCTTTCTGTTTTTCAGATCCTGAATTCAAAGCAGAAAGTTAGAATTTCTATTTGCCAAGAAGATTGGTATATATAAAAAATTTCATTTTCCAATACTGAGAGAGGATTGCTGTTCAGTTTGTTTTATCATACAAACTATCTATCCTGAGCACCAACTTAACGTTTTGGTAACCTTGTTACTGAATGTGAGAACCACCAGGCCGTTTGCCCAGAGAACCCATTTCCCTTCTCTATCAGAAAGGATTTTAACTCTTATCCTCTGAAGACATTCTTCAGCATTCTGACATTCTTCAAATATTTCAGTCCTGATTGAAACTGTTAATTCTGTCAGACACAGGGCATTCCTTGAAAAAGCTACAGAAGTTGGGTGTTCTCCCTAATCAGCTCTGAGAGCCACCTTGCAGAAAATGAGAGCCCCAGGCAGAGCATAGGAAGTTTGTACCAGCTTTAGCCAGAAGGAGAGAACATGTCTTTTTCTCTACCAGTCTGACACTAGAAGCTTGCTAACGTACCAGTTCAGTTTGTCTGCCAACAGCCGCTTTGCACAACTCTGCCCCTAATGCACAATGCATCTGTCCACTTAGTCCAGCATCCTGTCTCACACAAGCACCAGGGCCAGACGCCTGAGGAAGGCAACACCTTGCCCTGTGAGAAGTGCAAAGTTGCATTTTTTTAATTTGAGAATATTCCAGAGTTCTAGCTGACACTGAAGTCCTTTGATTACAGCATATCTGATCACAGCAACTGCATGACCACTCTAAATAGCCTTATTTTTTCCATTTACACCTTACTAATGAAACAAAGACTTTCATGCACGTAAAAAAGTAACAAACCAGGGAAGTTAAGTGGTTCAACGCTGTAGTATTTCTTCCAGTCTTGCCCATAACTAATGTAGTCTAAGTACCAGGGAGCTGCCAGGATAGCAGTGAACCCAGCTCCAGTGACCCTGCTGAGTTCATGAGCATAGTTGTTTTCCATCCACACTTGAACTACAGTGTCTGGTTTCAGCTAAAAAGGGGAAAACAAAACAAAACAAAATGCCCCAAACATTAAAGACAATCCTAATTGCTGTTATCAGGAAAAAGGATGATGGATTTCAAAATGGGGAGGGTGGTATTTTGTTTTGAAGAGGAACATTTTAGGAGCTACCTTTTGTCATTCCCTCAAACCGCCCCCTCCCTCCCCCCCAAGAATACAGCTGATTAGCTGTTTGCTGAAGCCTGGTTTATACTACACACAGTTAATGTCCAAAGAGGGTTCCTACATGCACCAGTTATCTAACTAGCTCTGAAAAGCTAAGTACCTGGTATTACTAGACCAGACACACAGTTATGCAAGGAAAAAAAAACAAAAACAAAAACAAAAAACTCAGAAAACTCATAGAATCTTCTCTACCCTTTACTCTGATGCTCTAAAGCATATTATATTACCTGTGTTCACCTTTAGGAAGCACTTCAGTGCTGGTGTTCCACCTATTTCACATGTTCAATAAATAATAATTTCAAGGCAGGCCCCACACCTGCGGAGACTTGCTGCAGTCACCAGATTTGCTCGTCTCTTGAGACACAACCATAACTACTTAATAGTCTGCTTTGGAAGCCTCCCACAATGTTGTGCTGTTATGCAAGAGTATCTTGCTTATTTTCCCATCTTACCTTTGCATTGTTATCAAACACTTCTTGCCAGACCATGTATCCTTTGTTATAGGAGGAAACAATGTCCAAAATGCTAGAATTTAGAAATAAGAACATGTTTGTGAACTTCAATGAAATCAGTACAGGCACATGAAGTAGTAACATTTTCTACCCTAAGGCACATCAGGCCTTTCCCCGTACTGCATAAGGGACCAAAAAACCCCCATTTTTTTCTGGTTTTGGCCTTCAGTGCTCTGCCTTGAAGAGCATGTTCTCCCCTGTATAAGGATATGCACGTGCAGTAACACAGACTGATGTTCAGAACTATCAGCAACTCATACAGGTGTCTACATCCATGTTACTTAAGAAAATAAATGGAGAAATAAATGACTGCAAAAAACCTTAGGAATTTTCCTCCCCACCCTGCGCGTTGTTGACATTACAGCAGATACCTAGTTTAAGATATCTAATGCATACAGAGAATGTGTACAACTAGCCTACTTATCCTTGTCATGTCCCACATTTTAAAGCTGTGAACTTTACATTCAGTCTGTTAAAATAAAAGACAGTAGGAAGTCCCCAAAACATGACAATTTTTGAAAAC